ACCGATCACTGTACCGGCAATAGAAGGCGGAGTTTGGATCATGAAGAATGGAACCTCGAGCTTCAACCACGCGAAGCGAAATAGATCCTTGTCACCCCACGCAAGTCGCTGAAGCTGAAAGTAATTGGGTCGATGGAATGCATAGAATGATACGAGGTGGAGTGGTGCTGCGTGTCGACGACGATCGATGAGAATCTGACCGCTTTCTTGTTCGAACATATCGACAAAAGGCATGTCCAATAATTGCCAGACGAGGGATTCCGAGTTGATATAGAACATCGTGTTCTGTGGATGCCAATAATCGGGCCAAAAGATGGCGCCCATTTTCACAAACTCGGGTGTTTCGAATAGAGAAGTTGGATCTCTCACTGGGGCGTTGTCGGCGTCCAGAAACAGCACTTGTTCGAAATTGCTGTGATAAATCGCGTATATCTTTGCCTCAAACCGAATGGGTCTGCCGTTCGTATTGATCTCACGAAGTGTCAAGTTGCCAGTAGTTGTGTTTTCATTTAGTGTCTGCAGCGGTTTAAGTGACCCCGGGGTTTTCCGCATTTCGTCGGGAGAAAACCAGATCTCGATTGGTAGTTCACAACCCAACACGTCGCGAAGCAGTCGGATTGTGGAATAAGCGCTAGCTACCAACGCAGGATACACTACCATAACAATGCCTCGACTGGGAGTTTGCAAGTCTGCTCTCAGATTGGGTAAAGCGAAACGAGGCTTTTTAGTCTGAGCTATAACAAGCTGGGCTTCCACACGGAAGTTGGCAAACCCTGGAGCGTCCGAGCATCGAAATACGGCACCACCCTTCGTGTTTGCACAAGAACGCTTCATGACGCGGAACCTTTCCCTGGTATCGATGTCTTCGACTTCACAGTAGCCTGATGTCTTCTTTGGAATCGAGATACTGCAACCTAAATCACCTTGAGAGTTGCGTAGGCCGTCTGGGCTACATCCCTTCGTTGCTCTCCATCCAAGACATTTGAATCGACGTTTCTTCGTTTCACTCGATGGCAGATCTATTATCTTGCGTTGAGAAAACTGCTCGTGGGTCGCTGTCAGCTTCGTCGAGGCGTTTATTCCCGCATTTCTAAAGCTCTGGTTAGCAGATGTATCGATGACCACGTGAGACCTGAAGAAACGCTCCGCCATGGTGTTATTGGTCGTCCAAAACATTATCAAGCACCATATTACAGTGCTCGATATCAAAATGCCAAGCAGCACGCTCATGTATCGCCGCTCAGACACCGCAGTTAAAGGCGTCGGAGTCTTTCTTGCGCTTCGGCTGTCCTTCCCGGTCATGACTTCGGTGATGAGATTTTGAATCTGGCTCAGAACCTGGCTACAACGGTGACAGGATTTGGATTTGTTAAGTTCAAGCCTGTTTCCACTCGGTACGATACCAAGTATTTAAAACACTGGTACCATTGCCTGTGTGTGGCTCAAGTTCACTGGTCATCGTCTCGTGTTTACAAATGTACGTGTTCTAATAATGCCAGGTACATTGGCACGGCGATGTGCACGATCCCCCATCTCTGAGATGCTCTTAAGCGCAGCCTCAGGCTGGGCCTCGTGCAATATATACGCTGCTGTTTGAGCCTCAAAATTTCAGACAGATGTGGAAGGCGCAACTAGTAACAAACGAAGTACTTAGAGTATTACGCTATAAAGCAGCGCAAGCGTACTACATTTATAAACAGTTTTCTTACCCATTTCTCTGTGGTATAGGTTTGGGGAGTCTATATTTGATAAACTGAAATCTGTGACGGGCGTCCGCTGCGCTCAAATTTAATTATATTCCTTCTCAGTCTTACTTCTGAACCAATTCCATATTTTAACAAAACGATTAAATTATGGATTGCTTCCATCTTGGTCGATTTGTGTGCCTGTTTAAGACGGGAAAAGCTAATTCAATCAAAGAAGGGGATATTGCCCTTACCGTTTATAATAGCTTGTCCCGGATACGAAGGCGTTTGGCAGTTTGCAGCTGAGCGCAAATCCAAAACACACGTGACATCATAATT